GCAGATTGAAACATGTCGCTATGCTTAACCGTATTACTATAACCCTATATAATTATTAAGTTATATTAGGCTTTGTTTCTGTGCAGCCGATGGAGCAGCCGATGGAGCCATTTCATACTATACAATTACACAAACATAAATTAGTGAATAAGAGGTTTTGAAAGATTTTGAATTGTATCATACTTTTATCTTATGTTGAATATTTATTTAAATTAATTTAATTAGGTGTAATTTTTTTATATTTTATTTATATTTCTAGTTTTAAGCCATGTTTTGAAAACTAGACCGGACCGACCGGTTCGACCAGTTCAAGCGGGAACCAGTCCCGGATCCGGTTCTTAAATGCCAAAAAACCGGTATTCATGTGAACCGGTAAAAACCGGTCCAGTTGAACCGGTAAAACCGGTCAAAACCGGAAATTTTTAAAAATATTTATTTTTTTTCATTTTTTGTATTTTTTATATAATTAAATATAATTATGACATCATCCGGTTTTTCCAGATTTTGAGACCGGTCCGACCGGTTGGACCACCTGAACCATCGAACCGGTAAGACGACCGGTTCGGTCTCCGGTCCGGTTTTCAAAACTTTGGTTTTAAGTGGGTAACCTAGGTTCAACCTATTTATTTAATAGGTTTGATTGGAAAAAACATAAATAGGTCAACACGATCACAATACATTAACCAAACAGGTTGGGTTGGGTTGAAATTTTCAACACAATAAATAAATGGGTTGAAACCGAATGCAACCGATATCGATATATTGTCCGATCTAATTTGTAACCAGTCTTTTTAGGTTCATTAATTAAAACTTTGAAATATCAAATCACTTAATTTAAATAAAGAATTTATTTTTAATAAGTAATTTCCATTTAACCCTATGCAACATTTCTTCTCCCTTTTCCCGCCACTCATCGCCACCCTCAGCTAGGGGTGTTCGTTTGGATGGATCGGTTTGATCCGATCCAATCAAGTAAATCCAAAATGATTTCGGTTTTCAAAACATTGATCCGAATTGTCCAAACTAAATTCAAATCTGATCTGATCCGATCCAATTACAATTTGGTTGGATCGGTTTTTATACTTCGGTTTTCAAAAACCGAAACATTTTAAAACGACATATAATTATAATATTACTCAACTTTACACAAGAAGCAAAAACAAATAATTTAGTTGTGATTTGAAATTTATAAACAATTAATAAGAATATATATTATAGTTAAATATTTTATAAATACAAAACCTTCGAGAGAAAATGCATATTAATGTTTTTTTTATCGAGTGAAACGTTTTGAACCTATTTGAAAAAATAAATTACAAAATTAATAAATAATTATAGATATATATTATATATAGATAAATAATAAATGTTTATTCGGTTTTTTTGGACTATCCGGTTCTTATTTTATAAACCAAAACCAATCCAAAATAATAATTCGGTTTTGTTGAAAACCAATCCAAAAATCCGAATATCCGAATCAAATAGTCCAATCCAAATTGTCCAATTGGATAATTCGATTTTATCCGAATAGTGAACAGCCCTACCCTCCACCGTCCCCGGTCCCCACCCTTCATTTATGGTTGTTTTTTCAAAAATTAAACCAAACCTTTTCAACATAATCCAAAAGACTCTTCATTTATACGATAACATAAATGTTTTAACAACATTTCATAATATAAATACCATTTTCTTTATTTTCAACAAACGTCGCCATTGATTTTGGGAACCACCCATTTCGTTCTCTAATCTTTTACTTTCTCTCTCTTAAATTTCCAACGGCACGACGGAGGTGGTCCGCCTTGGCGATGAAGGACATCGTAAAACCCAACGTCTTAGGAGTGATTCAATTGGCTGATCAAATCATAAAAGAGGCAGATTTTGCTTGTTCATTCAAACAGGAATGCGCCGATATCAAAACAAAAACAGAAAACCTCGTCCCTATCCTCCGTGAAGTCGCACGTGTAAGCAATGACCCTTATGAACGACCCACCCGCCTCATCATCGATAATGCAGAACAGGTTTTACACAAGACGCTGCAACTTGTATTCAAATGCCAAGCCAACCAGTTCCTGCGGTTGTTCAGCATCATCCCGGCTAAAGCCATTGCGAAATCATCACAACAGATTGGGTATATTATCGGAGACGTGTTATGGCTCCTCTGTTTCATGAATCATTATGTTGACCAAGAACGCCGGGATGAGTTCTTCTGGTTTCCGCCTATCGCCGCCAATCAGCCGCAGCGTTGTTTGATATGGGAGAACATCTTGCTCCTTTCTTACGGTAACCTCGATTGTCGAGCCAACGCGGCGGCAACACTTCTCGCAATGGTACACGATAATGAACGATACATTAGATTGATTATGGAAGAAGGTGGTGTGCAACCTCTTTTGAAACTAGCAAAAGAGGATAGAATGAAAGGGCAAGAGAGTGCGATCCGAGTAATACGTTTGGTCAATGGCGACCCCGAGACTCCATAACATGAATTGGACAAGAATCTTGAGGATGCAAGGATGTAATTAAGACCCAATTGGGTATAGTCATCAAATGTTGAATTGTTGGTATTGATATGATCACATGTGAACGAAATATGATGATTGGTTTACTCTATTGAAGAAATCGTGAATGTTGATGTAAAATGTTATAAAGGATTGAATGTTTGACTTCAAGAAGTCAAAGTTAAGTTATTATGCTAGTTTGTGGTAATCTACATCTTAAAATTTTAGAAATTGGAAAGGTTAACACATGGAGTAACTACAACCAAATGAAGCTAATTGCCCAGTAAAAAGTTGCATTATGCTTGATCAAGCAACCTTTTACGAATGGTTGCCTAGGTAAAGTTGTCGAAGGCCTAACGCCCATTTTGTAGATAACAAATAATGACATATTATAGAAACAAACGGTTTACTGGAGAGGAACAAAATAAAAAGCACCTTCAAATGTGAGCTTGATTCAGCATCAAGCTTGGGATAGAAAGCTCTTCCTTCAATTTAATCAATGCAATGACATAAAACAATGAGACGAATATGTGAATCAATGACATGCAACAATAAGAAAAACAAACGTGTGCATCAATGGTTGAGCATCAATCAAAGTGCCTAGTTATTCAAAAGAAGAATTACCACAAGTTTAAGAACAGGCTCATCCAAGCTATCCCTTTAGAGACATCTCTCACTGTTAACAATTAAGCTTATATCACAAAAATAACAATGTTTGAAATTAGAGCAAACTACAAAGTATGGAAAGAGACCTTGTTTTTATTTTTTGTTTTTTGTTTTTTTGGAACCGGACAATATATTAAAAAGAACCAAAACAGTCCAAATCCTAGCAAGTAGCTAGAAGAGGAGAGAATTCATACTTACAAGATGAAGGACAAAAAAGAAGAACAAAAAAACAACAAATATATAGGGGTGATGGGAAGACATGCATGGAACTATTAGAAAAATGATATCATACTTTAGAGAATTATGAAGCTATCAACTTATACAGAAACCTAGATCCTTTTGATATATATGAGACATAAACTTGAAATGCGATAATGTTTTTATGCCACAGTTTCAAATTAATTTTGATCAACACTTGGTCATGGATGTGGGCTATAATTTATCAACGTGTGAGACAAACTTTAAGCACCAATGCCCATGTATAGTTGAGTAACACATACATGTGGTAGACCTATCCGCATACGATTCATCAATGCCTACTTCGTAGTTTTCCCATGTATTAAAAAGAACGCAAACAATTCATTAACATCTACATGTTGTAAACTTGTCCATGTATCATCGATTAACACATACATGTTGTATACCTGCTCGTGTACGGCTTATAAACATCTACATGTTTCAAGTTTGTCCATGTTTGACCCGAATTATCTAGAATAGTTTGTGGTCATCATGTAGAGTCAAAGTAGTTGTGAGTAGTCGAAAGTTGTGTCTTTATGTTTTGCGTCTGTAAATAGCGAAAGTTTAAGGACTTTTGCTATCGTATCTATTTACAAGGCGTATTATATGTTTCGCTTTTTAATGTCTAGTCCTTGTATTTTTAGGTCTGTGATGCACCCTATAAATAGGTTAAGTACTTAGGGGTTAAAGTCACGAACACTCTCACAATTACACTTGTACTCAAAAACCTTTGTATTGTTCCAGACGTAAACTGAGCTAAACATATCTTATTTAGATCTTTGTGTTCTTTATTGCTTTGTTGATTCGATTGACTCAAACTCGTTTATAAACACTCTTCAATTGGTACTAGATCAGGAATCACTAATTTGATTGAAAAATCAGTATCACGTTTTTCATCTTATTGCTTTCTTGAGTCGTTTTTCATCTTATTGAGTCGATTCTGCTATTGTTTTTTCAATCGATCTTATAATCATCTCAGTTCTTTTCTAGAAATTTATCTTTTCAACAAATCAAATGGCTAATCTCAATGTAAACACGATGATGAACTATACGAATCTTCTTAGATCTGCAACTAAGATTTCGATCCTGATTCCTGAGTATTATGATCAGTGGGCGGATCGAATGGAGGATTATCTTAATGACATCGATGAGGATCTATGGAGATCGATCCAGCATGGACCTTATCGACTAGATCTGGTTCAAGCTGTTGGTAATGCCGGAGTAGCAGAAGACATGATTGCGCATGGGAACAAGATAACAACTAATGATAAGAAAGCTCTCCATGAATTGAGAGGTGCTCTTCCTCCTGTCGTCTAAAACTATGTTCATGGATGCAAAAGTGCTAAGGAAATTTGGGATACTTCGAAAGAAAAGTATCAAGGCAATGAGAGGACAAAGAAAAGCTTGGTGACTAAGTGTTTATCTGAATTATCTAATTTCAATTAAAAAGGAGAACGAAAGCATTGAAGCATACTATAACAGGATAAATGATTTTGATCTTCAAGTGCAATCGGTATGGAGTAATTCGAACAAATCTTGAATTCAACCTCACTTTCGTTTATGGACTCAGAAAAGAATGGTGAAACATCTGCTTGATGATCAACACATAGGATAATTTTGATACATATTCACTATCGAATTTATACAATATTCTAAAAGCGCATGAATCAGAAGTAATTGAATTTGCTGAAGAAAACAAGTTGAACTATGGTGGTCCATTGACGTTGGTGTCGAAAACAAATGCAAAGGAAGATGAGTCTGAAGGAGATACGAAAGAAGATGAAGAAGGATTTCTGCTAAATTTTGACGATGAAGTTGTTGCCTATTACTCAAACAATAGGGTGAAAAATTATTTCAAGTAACCTATGAGTGGAAATTTCAAAAATAGCTTGGAAAAAGAAGCCAATGTCACATGTCAGTGGAAATTAGAAGGCGGTGGCGAAAGGTGAGAAGAAAGATGAAGAGAAGAAATCAGAAGTAAAACTCAAAGGAGATTTAGGCTACAACTGCAATTACTGTAATGGCCATAATCATTTGGCTAAGGATTGCATGTTGAGAAAAATGGAAGAGAAGAAAGAGAATGTGAAAGATGAGGCCTATTATGCGAAAAGGCTAGAGGAAGTCTGTGCTCAGACCAAGAGTATTTCATTAATGGCCAAAGGAGATGATGATAGTGAAGACACCTATCAAATTTGATCTTTTGGATCTGACAACGAAGAAATGCATCATCCTACTAATGGCGTGTTATTTGCTAAATTTGAAGAAGGCGAATCTGTTGAGAATAGCTTGTTTGGGAAAAGTGTGGAAGACAGTGATGAGGAATTGGAGGAGAATGAGAAAGATAAGGAAAGTGACAAAGAGAATATGGAGATCACTTGGAGATGTTTCGTTTCGACGACTCCAAAATCTCCAATGACTGCCAAGGTGCGTGATCTTCTTGTTTCTCTTAATATTAGATTAAATTCTTATCATGCTGTTTTATGTGATTTTGATGAAACTTGCTCTTATCTGAATGACATGCTTATTTCGATGAGTAGTAAAGCAGAGAAATCTAAGGCATCCCTTTATGAAGCTCGTAATAGGTTGGAAGAGAAGAAAAGTAAAATTGAGAGTTTTGAGCTTTATATAACGAATACCGTGTATGATAGGGATCGTCTTAGGATGGATAATAAAATTTTAGTCAAACATCGTAATATTTACTGTAATACTGCAAAACGCTTGTATGGAAAAATGACTAACTTATATCATTCTGCTGATATTTGTGTTCAACAACATAGGAAGTTTCTTCCCTTCATTACTTTCAAACGAGAGTTAGTTGATGAGACTACTTTAGACTGTGAGAGTAAAGTAGCTGACTATGCCACCATTCCTAATGAGTCATATGCTTATTGTGTTGTTAACATAAATAATTGTTAAAATGCTGATGAACTTGTTAATATTGTAAATGAGACCTTGACCAAAAATGAACAAATCAAATTTTTGAACAAGACTGAGAATTCGGCACAAAGTACTCAACAAAATTTTGTTGATATCAAAGATGATTATGATAATATCAGTGAAATTGAGGAAAATGAATGTGTTGACTGCTCGAAGTTGTCTGTCATTAATGCCACGTCGTTAGCTAAGGACAAAGATGTTGTTGACTCAAAAGCGAAGTTAAACGATGAGTCATCTTCGACAACTAAGACTTGTGATTCTCAAAAAGAAATTGTTACTGTTGAGGACATAACAAATAACAAAAATGATAGTGAAGATGATTCGCATGAAAAGGAAATTCCTCGAATTGTGGAAGATCAGGTGTATGGAGATACAGAGAAATTCACAAAAAAATTGAAAGAAAAAGGGGAACATTATTTGGAAAAAATATTGTTCTTTATCCAACATGTATCAAAGGTCTTCCAAACCAGGTTTTTGTAACGAAAGGAAATGCTGACAATTTTGATCAAAAAATCAACAAATTATTGAAAGAAGATAATAACAGTGTGACTGATGAAAGTTTTTACTCAAATCAGAATATGAAAGAAAACAAGTTAAACAAAAGATCTCATGTGTTTCAACTTCAAAAGAGTCAAAAATATTTTTCCAATGAAAATCAAAAGAAATCAAACAAATTTTTGGTTGTCTAATCGGATAAACCCAAAATCAAATGCAAAATTAAAGAAAAATGTGAGCATTCTTTACCTAATGATTCTAGTAATCAAAAGGAAAAAGCTCATGCTTTTAAAAATAATGAAAAATCAGTTTCACATGAAATACCTTTTAAAAATCAAAATGGAAAAATTTCAGGATCAAGATAAAGAAGTTGAGAAATATGATTTGAAAAATGAAATTTCCAAGAAGAAAGCAAGAAACAAGGTTTATTGGAAGATACAAGAGGAAAAACGAAAAACAAAGTTTTTGAAATATAAGAATTCTAAAAAACCTGAAAAGAAGTTTTCACAAACATCAAAAATTCATACTTCAAAAGATTCATCTCAAAGTGATTTGAAAAATGGAAAAAGGAATGTTGGTAATAAGAGTGGTTTTTCACCAAAAGCGAAAGTTGTTCTAAATGTGAATGAGAAAATTTCAAATCTTGC